ATTAATTCTTCTTACAAACCATACTGATTAGAGATTGATGTGATCTCTTTGTCTCCATCTCTCCACTTTTTCCTTTCTTTAATAACTCGCTCGCTACTTTATGGCTGGGTAGCCAGATATCGGCGATCCCGGATGGATCCAGTCAAAGCGCATGTCGCCCGATAAAAAAGGGAAAAAAAAAAAAAAAAAAAAAAAAAAAAAAAAAAAAAAAAAAAAAAAAAAAAAGAGAAAAGAGAAAAGAAATGGAGAATGCATCCGTCTATGTGTGTGTCTAAAAAGAAAAGTCGAGAGGTCCAGGTGTTTATCAATGGTAGAGAAGGAGTTCAGTCCCTCGACCTGTCCGGGGACACACTAGTGTTATCAAAGGAAGCAAATAAGCAGGACTCGTACTGCGTACAGAACAACAAAGGGACATCGATACTTCAAATAATAAATCACCACCAGGAATTGCTTGCACCTTTGTACATACAATGAATGAGTCAAGGAATGATAATGCCTTGTCCAATCTAGAGTTTGTCGACAGAGAGTTCGTCACGTCCGTCCCTTAATGGGGACTGGAGCTTATACTGGATACTTTTTCTTCTTAAACTTTCACGGGAGATCCCCAGTCGATCGAGGACACAGTTGGTCTGGGATCGAATTAACCCAAGCGGCTCCGAAGGTATAAAATTATGTGGACGGCCCCAGTAAAAGTTTCATTGCCGTCCAGGACGGCAACGGGGCATTCTTGGTAGTGAGACGATGGAGTTCAATAAAGTTCTTTCAGCTCGGCTTGCCCACCGAAAATCTAAAAAGCTGAATCACGCGTTTTGAGAGGTTCGGGTCCCGTTGGCAGGTCCCGACAAAGTGGGCGAACAGCAGACGATCCCAGTTGGCGCGTGCTTGTCAAAACTTAATTCCGTCAGGGAAAAAAAAAAACAAAATAGAAAATTTAAAAAAATAAAAAATAAAAAAATAAAAAAAAAAAACAAAGGAAACAAGCAGACAGGCAGACAGGCAGACAGGCAGGTACAGGTCCTCCAGGTAGTGTCATCAGACGACTTTCATGATGCTGTCCGGAGCTGAACGCTTAGATCGTGTTGCCACTTCTCTGACTAGAAAGATCTGCATAGTAGATCTAAGCGAATCTGTCGCCATCGATCATTCTTCAATCCTGGCTTAAAAAAGCAGCCAAGAATGTGGGTCGTCACCAATAAAAAAATATATATATATATGAAATGAGGAGAAAAGAAATGATTACATGAAATGAAACGAGGAAGGAAGTGGAAGAGCCGCTTCTTGCCGTGTGCGTCCACTATATTGGGACATTCAACGAGGGAATATTCAGCGAGCATCGCAAGCACCTTCTCACTCTCGGAGAATTCTCTGGCGTGTTCAAGTCCATCGTTGGCGTGGCTCTTCTTCGTATTGGGGAGGTCTTATGGATCAGTCATACCGACCGATTGCCTAAACAGGCGTGGACCATCAACTCAATGGGGGCAAGATGAGACGTAAGGCGCCGTCCTTATATTGCATGCAGCTGCAAAAACCCAGGGGGGAGGAACACCTCGTTTATTGGTGGTGGTGCATACATGGGCTCTTGGTCAAGTGAGAACGGCATATGCAAGCTTGCAGTGTTTTCGACAGGGATTAGCAAGCCTTTGGCAGGGTTCGCTTAGAACGAAACAAAGGATCTACGGAGGACTTAGTATAAACGGTAATTTCCTCATGACAGCTGCGAGGAGGAAGTGAGATTGCCCTACGGAGTATACAGGTTATCATCGGTCAGTACCTTCATTGTCTGGAGAGGGTTGATCTCACTTTCTCTCCCCGCATTCATACAAAGATAAGAGCATCTTGAAGTGTACTGTGTAAACCACTATACGCCTCCGGGCTGGCTCCGCCACGATCGAAATCCAATTGATAGGGATGCATACTGGCTGCATCGGTTAAAACAGAGAGTATCTCTCGCTGTGGCGTATCAAAAACCACCTCCATATTGTGACGCCGACATTATGAATCGGTTCGATTCTCTTACTTGCCCCTTCGTATTGCAGCTCTTGGTGTTCTTTGAACGAGCTCTGTTGCCTCCCACGCCCTCCTCGTATCCCCAGACCACCGATTCTGTCAAGATTTAATGCCCCCACGGTCTCTACTTTATTATTTATTATTTTTATTATTTTTTATTTATCTATTATTTATTTATTGGAACCCGTTCAAGTGAAAACCCTTGAAATTTTTCTCAATGATACGTCTAGACCCAGTCCTTCCAAGCTGCAACCCGTATATTTGGGTCCGGCAAAGGTTAACAAGCGAGACGCGCGCTCTCGGGTTGAGATTCATTCACAGAGATGAATAATAGATTATTTTTAATTCCCTCTTGGCTCCATAGATGACGCTGGCAGGCGCCGAAGAGCTCATGATTGGACGGTGCGTCGGGACGGGAGTTGTCAGAACAGATGGGAAAAATGGGCCAAATGTCGTGGGAGGGGCAGCGCTAGGCAGCTCAGAAATGAAAAGAAAAATAAAATAAAATACTTCCTGTGGCTATGTCCTTGACGTCTCCCACAGAAATGCCGCATTGGTCGAGAGGGTCACCCTGATCTAATGAGGCGATCATCGCGTCCCAAAGAATGTCGAGCCAAAAGTGGCCCAGCATGGGGCGCTGTAAGAGGGCAGACACGAGTTCTTTGCACCAGCACTAGTATCAAACTAGTACTAGTGGGGTACTGTAGAGTAGATCATTGTCTTTTTGAGTCAGTCTCCCAGAAACCCATGGAAGAAATATTCACGGGGTAAGAGATCTGCTCACTGCAGGAGCGTTCATTGGGATCATTCGGCATCGTGTGGGAGGTTCAGGGAATCCCAAAACCCCCTCCCAAACAGGAAACCAGAACGGGACAAAGAAGAATCGCCATCATGGATCACATTGCAGGAAGAAAGGATGCAGGAGACCCCAGCGTACAGGTCTTCTGCATCCCCCCCTCCTCCCCCAAACGCAGGCCGCTCATTATAGTAAACGCCCTAAGAAGCCAAGATGAATGCGCGAGTCCTATCAGAAACCCATCATGGATCAGGTACATACAGACCTTCTCAGGCGTCATAAAATGGGTGTCCATCCATCGTTCATTGGCTGCGGAGACGGCCAATCCGTATTCAATTTCTTCTCTTCTGAATTGTGAGTGGTGGTGGTCTCCAATTTTTAGTTTTTGAATTATTCTTATTCTTTTTCTTTCCACCCCCTCTCTTTGTTTCGATTCCCAGGACAGAAAGCAGTTTGGTGGATAGCGACGAGAAGTCCAGCATTTCCCCCTTCAAGGGGTGTTGGCCACAGACACTAAAAGGAACACAGCTCCGGTCGCCGCGCAGTCGGTGGTGGATAAACCATCCCATCCACGCTGATAGGTTCCCAGCTCAACTAGCATGCATGTACTAGGGATGCCCATCAGCGCCACTGGCTCGTGTAGTGATATGATTCGGTGATGGTGGGAACTCAAAAAAAGGACGCAGCAAAAAAAAAAAACGAACCTGGGGAAAGAAAAAAATAGAATAATGAAAATTATCATAACACAACTAGGAGCAATATGGACGAGAACAATAATAGAAAGAGGGAAAAAAAGGAGTTGTCTCCGTCAAGGCGTCCGGTTGATGATTGGTGCGACCAGGTTCACTAGTATTATCGCCTTCGTATCCTTAGATAGTACTCTGTAGTAACTATGAAAGGACTTGGACTACCATACTTACACTTACTACGACTCCTCATTGCTAACCCCTCTTCTCCTCTCTCGGTATATCCATTATTCACCCCTTCCCCTCATTACTCCTCCTTCGTGTTCAATTTGAACAACGATGTTGGGAGAGAGGAAACATGAGCTTGGCACCGACCCGGCCGAAAGTCGGCAGGGGGGGGGGAGGGTTTTCATGGCTCTGGAAATTGGAAATGACCAGTTGGGAATGAAAACTGGGTCAGTGAAGTTGTCCCTTGTGGATTTGTTGGAAATCAAATCCAGATGGAGCCGGCGAATTAGGAGAGCGATCATGCTAATCATCACCTGCTTTTTCGTGTCCGTGGTCTCCAATAACAACGATCGGTCGGGCGCTCCCATCTGATGGGACCCAAATCCGACGAGGGCTCCACCGATGGCAATAGTTCCGGATAGCGTTTGTCTGGGCTAAGCATTGATGCGGAGAAAAAACTAATTTGGGTACTTACATATCCATCCATCCTGTAGCTGTCCATCTGAGGCTTAGTCGGAGGATCCAATGGTCCAACGATTCTCGACTGGCGGTGTTTTGGCCAAGGATGGAGATCTCCATCATTAGTGTCGAACATGTTATGAGTCCTGGTCGACTATCTCCGGGGATCTCGAAAGACTTTCTGATAGAGATACGGGCTTCCTCGGAGAACATGAGGGAGAACTTTCCATCAATGAGATGGGAAGGGGGAGACTTCAGGACGCAAGGCAACTGGAGAGCTATTGCAGTCCATCCCCCCACACATCGAAGATACCAGTGGTTTTAGTTACATGCTGTCAGTCTCTGAGCCTATGGACTCGTCGTCATGAAGGATCTGGATCTTTCAATCCCGACCTGACCTGTCCGATTTACACCTTGGTTCTAGCCCTGCAGGAAGGAAACCGCACTAAACGTACATACAGGTAAACTAACATCGCGAAGGGTTTCACGGCGTCTACCGATTTACAGGGGAGAAGAAACTCATCACCGTCGTCTGTACGACTGCCTCCTGCATCATGTGAAGGGAAAGAACCGTTCTGTACCACAGTTATCAGCCATTGTCCCAGTCGAACGAGTCTTGCGATAGGTTATCACCAGTGTCATGCAAGGTGTGATTCTTCTTCCGCTCTCACACTCTCACACACACATACACACACTCTCTCTGTAGATCACTCTTAACAATAGCCATGTATTCGTATGATGATTCTTCTTCTTCTTCTTCTGATTATGATTATGGTTTTCAGATGGGGATCATATTTACTCCAGTCAGCCCCTTCTGAGATCTGACAAGATCCCGTCCTATGCGACACTCCGTATACATTCCGACTCTTCCCACTCGAACCTCCAATTGATCGATTCTTATGCACCAATTGGGTACCCAACGCGATGTACCATCATCTTGCTGATAACCATGTGGCTCGCCACGATTCAATTATTGACCGCTAACCTCGTACATGCACCAGGACCAATCTGGATAGTCCGAGAGAGTTAGATTGGCGAGTTGATCGTTGATCGTCAATTAGATTCTCAACCATGATTGTATGACCATCCCTGCTCTGGAGTCTGCATATGCTGATCCCTTCAGATCGGGTTCTGGTGGACTGGACAGGAAGAAAAATAAAAGTGAGAAAGCCGAAAGAAACGAACAGATCACTCTGGTGCTCCTTATCAACCGTCCCTCGGACACACTAGTTGTTGTCCAGAGTCGTAAGAACGGGCTTCTAGATCCTTCCTCTCTGTCTCTAGTCTAGGCATCCAAACCAACCCCTTGCTTGTCGCTTGAGTATTTTCCTTCAGAAATTCTTTCCTCTCTCTCTTTATTTTTATTATTATTATTATTATTATTTACTATATTCATTTATTTCATTTTTTAGTCTTTTTGATTTCCCTTGCTAGTTCGTTACTATCTGAGCTTTCTTGTTGACAGCCCCCTTTTTGGACCTCTCCCTCAACTCTGTATTTTCCCTCATCCTCTCCACTCCACTTGCTCTCTTTTATTTTTATTGTTTTGTTTTTCGGTTCCTACTTGCAAACCCCCTTAATAATAGAATTTCCAACGTCTTGTCAAACTTTATCGGAGCAACCGCCGCCCTGGCTGGTGTTAAGAATATGCGCTCGTCATTTGCCTGATCACTGGAAATCAAAATAAAACCACCACCGGGATTTATCCCCCACATCCTGACAGGGATCCGGTTTCAGATAATCAGAAAAAAAAAAAAAAAAAAAAACGTGGCTCTGGCATCTGCGCGTGTCTTGGAATTGCTTTTTTCGGAAATTTCTTCGACGGGCTTCAACGCAGGAAATGAATGATCCCGTCTCCCAATTCTCCCCCCAGCCATCAGTCGCTCGCCCTCTCCCTGAGGGCTGGTGCACTAGTAGATCCAAAAGGGAAGAATGGAGTTATACGAAACCACTAGCCTTGTCATACATCTCCAAAACCAGGTGCGATACTAAAAAGAATGGACTCCTCGGTGTCCTGCCCTAACAGGCAGGAGAGTAAAAGGATAAGGAGTCGTAAACGAGGGTCCGATGAGGATGGCAACAGGCCAAGAGGCGTGAAGCGATCCAGAGCAAGGCATCGTCTGGACTAGGTAACAGCATGCCAGCCCAATATCTCTCTGCGAGAAGCTCACTAGTTGCCTGACTAGGATGATCTACTCTGGGATCCTCGTAGTTGGGCTCGGACATAACGGAAGCATTGGGGCTGGTGCTGACTTGACTTGCCACTAAAATCGGTCTGGGTCGCGCTACGAGACGCGGATCGGCATAACTGCTGAGTTACAGGGAAATGTAACGCGGCTAAGTGGGCCATTGAGAAAGAGAGGCTGACTCGGAGGTTGTCGCTTTGATCATTCCTGTCCTTCGTTTCAACCCCTGGCTTCTATTCGTCCCGATGGATTGCGTCGTGGTTTCCAGAGTCAACCGGGGCATATTAAGGAAGAACGGCGGGAATTTCGCCCAACTGGACCAAAATTACGGAAAGGAGAATACAAATGTTGTATTGGATTGTGATTCTCCTGGATTGTATCTTGAAATAGAAGGTCAACTACTCCCAAAAAGGAGGAATTCTCAGACAAAACTATGGTTGCTTGGCAAGCATCACTGTCATCGTGGTCTCGACACTATCTATGATCCGATCAAATCATCTAGCTCGAAGTGTGGAAGATGGGGACTGAACACCGGGTGTGGACTCCCTAACTACCAAAACAACCACTCTTACTACGACTTCCCCACGAAGGAACAAACTCGATGCAAGGGGGGAACGAAAAACAGACCGCTTTGAAACGCCTCGGACGAAGTCAATCTCGCTCGGACCCGACAGCATTCTTCAGATTTGGATCGTCGTGTCATAGATCATCAATTTCATACCTGAAGACCGGAGTCGATGATATCACTCTCGCTATCCCTTTCCCACCCCCAAAACCGGGTTGAAGGATATCACCCGTCCTGTGTGTCTACCCAATCAATACGATAGCTTGTCACGCGCACTGATATCGCTCCCTGTGTGAGGGAAGCAAGGCTACACAATTGGACTCCGTGTCGATTCAATCGGTGGCGTTCGGTATTTGCCCACCTGCCGGGGATTACGTTGATGTTACATTCCACATCTGCCAGTATGCCCGATGGCCATGTCACTCACATGGCAATTTGATGAACTCTAACAGCTCGTGTGCGAGTGCGTGTGTGCGTGTGTGTCTGTGTTGGGATCAACATTTCCCATCTGCCTTGGACATGCCCGGGCCTACGTGTACTTGCAGCACTAACCTGGGAACTCGGTCTCAGTGCATGTTATGTACTCTGCAGTGCCGAGAAGAGATGCATGCTGCACTATCCCTATGCGTATCCAGTCATTAAATCATTTGCCTCGAGGTATGGAGTTCGGCTGACTCGTTGTAAATTACCAAGCCAGGTGAGACTGAAGCGCTTCCAACGACATGCAGTTGGACGATACTTCCAAGCCGAACAACCCCATACCCTCGCATATCTCTGCAGGGATGGATCATGGAAGAACCTCATTTTCCACAATCGAGCGATGATAGGGTTTATTCAGCTAGTTATTGCAATATCCCGTGGACTAGATAGCAGGTTTGGACCCAGTAAAACCATGCATGCAATGTATACATTATCTTCACTGCATCATTTGTCTCAACACGAGTTCTTGTGTCCTGATTAATGAATGATATCAAATGAGATACGTCGCCTTTTGTAAATCGGCTCATCACCACCTACTCGTGTAGAATCTAGAAAGTGAGATTCAAGAAGGCCCGTCGTCTACACTGGCATCTAGTACAATCTATGGTTTTCCCATTCACTACATTCTCATCATATTTATATATTCATTGCCCTATAGGTAGATTCCCCGGAGCTAGAAATCCAGGCAGTATGGTTTTTTAAATATATTTACAGTTATAACCCCGATAGCTGGAATCTCCCCAACATACGCAAATATATATATACACGTCCACACTCTGCTCTATCAATAGCATGCTCACCATCCACTAGACCCTCCACCGTAGCTAGTAACAGACAAGATTATCACCACAGAATAAGCTAATTCTCTTAAACCTATACAAGAATCACCCAGTTGACCATATGTATCCACCGTGCTGGTCTGGAGCTGGAAATGGGTCCCATTGCAGCCGATGAGAGTGTACCTACCACTTCCCTCTGTAACCGTAGTCCCAATTGTTTCGCAGCTGTCCGTACATACTGGAAACTGTTAGTGCTTACCGATTCCATACTAATTGGAAATGAACCCACCGCTTATTAACATGCAGTCTATCCCTGGAATACAACGACCCGTACCTCCGGTCTATGAAGTCACAGCCATGTGTTGATATACATAGTTTATGGAACGACAGAATAAGCATAATTAGACTCTAGATTAAGTCTAATCGGTTCGTAGAGTGGGATCCTCAAAAAAAGAAGAGGTATACTAATAATAATGTCCCCAGTTCTCAACCGGAAGTGATCAATTTGTTCATGCCTTTTATGAAGACTATGAGGGCTATATATTCTTCCCCTTTCCCAATCGCTGTAGTTCGTGTTCTTAACTGAAGCTGGTCATTTGATTAGAAGAGTGTATACATCGGCATTAATCATGTTATTGCAGTATGGATTGCTCTACTGCTTCAGCTCTACGCTGAGAATGTTCCTCCACTCCTGTTTTACTGTTATCCTTGGGACTTATTGGGGATGGACTTGGAGCGGGTAAAGGGCGTGCAAATAGAACCAGGCGCAGGGAATGTAAATGTCACAAATGTTCTATTCTCAGTTTCAACCCGGTTTCCTTACGCATGGTAGTATTCGGGGCCTGATACAGGAGACTGATAGACACTCGGAGGTATCGACGCTATGGTAAGACTATACATCGAGCGCCCACACTATGAACCATAATTACTATCTATATTGTAGGAGAGAAGCAAAGTGCTTCCACGCTAAGTCGCAGATATAAGTCGTATTCATATTCAGAGGATTCCTCCGATACTATACATATCTACACTGCATTCCAGTCAAACTCGTGCAGCCGGGCTCTAACACCCGCAGCGATGGCTGCCAGATTTCTTTAGACCAAGAAGGAATTCAACTGTATGCTGAAATGGTTATCTACTTCACTGGGGGTAAGCACCTTCACCCTCACAATGAGAATCTGTTGATTTGTATCACACGTGCAACTTGCACGACAAGTTGAACTCTCAGGTATCCATCCGTCCTCATTACAGCTGCATTTGTACTCTACTTTCTGGCTATAAATAAGCCATTACACGCAGCTAACAGGGATAACACGATAATGCCATCAGTGTATCGTTTCGGTGGTCCCTCTTGTATACACAGCCGATCTCTTTAAAGGTATCTATACACTGTTTTACGTTAGGTTATAGAGTGAAAGGAATGATAGGACGAGGTATACCTCATACTTGACAAGTTTAATTCCCTTTTCAGGATTATAGCTTGATTGGTCATATATCTCATAGACGGAAACGATGAACTTTACCTCATATGGGTGGGAGTATACGTAAGTATACATGGCATCCGGGGCTTAGAGGGTGTCTAGAATCACACAGTGAGGTTGCTGCTCAATTGGGCCTGTCCAAATTAAGAGATGTGTACAGGCTGTAGTTGTGGTCTTTGAAACAGTAGTATGTGGGTGAACCTGGGCCACGGATGGTGGAAAATGGTATGGGACAGTTTATGAGAAGGCTTAGAAATGGTAGTGATGGTGGGAGGTTGTTTGGCTGTTGGTTCATTACCGCTGGTTGTTTGTTTATTGTTGGGTTCGAGCATTGGAATGGGGCTATTCTGTTCCCCAGTTCCTAGTTAGGTGCGCATATATAATAACTGGATCGATATTTGTGGTTGTTTCTATGATGATGATGATCATCGACCCCTTGATTTCGCAGCCTAGGACGGTTGAACTCCTGGTCGTAGAACATATGATCCTGCGTGAATTGTTGTTGTATTTTGTGACGGAATATCACATTGTGCAATCAGTTGCGGTTGTATCACATTGTGTACGTGGTTGGTTTATTATAGGTGTGGACTTGTATGTGTTCCTCCAATACAACGTCCAGTCTGAATTATTAACGGCTGGTACAACTGTAGTAGCTGTAGCTAGTGTATATATATAACCATAACTTGCTCCTAAGAAATAGCATGCACCGCCAATGTAACTACTACACTCAGAAGAGATGCCTGAGCAGAACATCCTAAAAGGCCCGAACAGCTGCAATCCAGACCAAGAGATATAGTGTGCGTCTTTGCAACTACAATATCTGTGAAAGCAAGGACAGTCTTGGGCCTATACACGTACTATGATGAGATCTACTACACACAACCCAAAGCAGGTCCACAATCTTTACCAGTGCAGCCTTCACTGTTGCCTCCGGTACAGCGCTCGCGATGCCAGTCCTTCCTTTGCTCCTATTGCAATCATCTCTACTGTACTTGCCGTCTTTGCAATTCTCTCCCACACAACTTTTGAAGTCATCAACGTGTCCCGCAGCTCTAGTAAATGCCCCCTTCTGTTGTAAAGGTGCAGTACTCCGAATTTGCCCAGTACAGCACATTGTACTTGATAATAGAGCCAGTATAGGCTTCAGTAGGAGAGTCCCATAAGACGTTGGAACCGGTCGTAGTAGCTTTAACAAGCCCGTTCGGGAAGCTACAGCAGTTTGGAGATATACCGTTACGGAGAGGACTGAGGTACAGTCTTTACCGTTTCCCCCGGCGCTGGCGCGTACCTTGATCTCGTGGATTAGGTCGTCAACTGGACGCTTCGGGGCCTATTGGGCGGCATTCGCACTCCCTGAGGAAAGATTAGTAATGCCACCTTGAATCGGAGATGAGACGACGTAGCTGTATACTCCATAGACTACCAAAGTCGGTCAGCGCTAGTTATAGTGTTCTTCAAGTTCTGCTGCAGGGACTGATTTTGAAATCCTTCGTAAGCGTGGACTGAAAGCCGAGAAATTTTATAACAGTACTCGCAGTAGTAGTTTGGCTGTAGCAAAAGAGATAAATAGGGGAAGAGTCGTTGCTACTTCGCTCTGAAATTGCGTCACCCAAAAGCGTGTTAGGGACTCGGAGTTCAAGCTGTTGGAAACGGTTGTGAATGGGCATGGCCAGGCGATCATCTGACCAATCCAAGTCCTAGAGGAAAAATTATACATTCTGGACAGATCTTGTTTTTTTTCTCGTTTGAGTCTGTATCTTGACTACGTTGGAGCAGTATATAAAGCGCCTGTTGTGACCGTAAACGGGCCAGCTTGGATAATATAATCCCACACTGATTCTTTCATCCTCGTTCCACCAAGAATAGCCCCATATTATTCTAAAATCATGACTCTCCTGTCTCTGAATAGCCTTCCTGTGGAGATGATCTGGGCGACTGTTATCTCTGGTCATCCCTTAGAATATTCAAGCCAGAGAAATACAATGAGCTAAGGTCCAAGAACGTACTGCGAGATATGGCAACAGAATATATTGAGACAAGTTTGCAAGGGTAAGACTAGTTCCTCTAATAATCTATGTACACTAAAACATACCATCTTATATGTGTTATTCCAATTTCGAATCTCTAATTGTTTGATAACTGCACTCCGTAGGCTACACTATAAATATACATACGTCTTTAGATATCATGGAATTTCATAGGCAAACAAAACAAGCCATTCTCAAGAAAAGACCGTTGATCCCTCCACTAGTTCCTCAGAGATATCCCAGTGTAAGCTTAAAGACTTGGAAATATTTTATAAGCAAACGGAGGGGGCCGGTGGGGGTTGAGAACAGATTGGTGTCAGTGTCCTGTACCTAAAGTTATTTATCGATACTCTGCAAACATGAATACTATACATACATACGGTATTACACACATATACTATAGCACATATTTATAACCGGGAACTATCAAGAGAAAGTAGTGTATCGCAGCGATACGCCTGGATATCATAATTGGATAGCCAGAGATTACAGTATATACGGAACTCGGCAAAACAAGACGGAAAGTAAGGGAGAAGACGGAGTACTCCGCAAGTTGCTTGATATTGAAGCTTAGTCACTGGTTGCCCGGATATTTTTCCCGTCTTGGCGTTCTAATTAAATCCCAACTTCCGTCTTATCTGATTCTTATATTATCTTTGCATCTGTGGTTCAATGGCTTATCTGATCTTGCCATTGCTCGTGTTTAGTTGTTAAGGACCTCTGTACCCAACCTAAATTGGGTTTCTCTGACCTCAATAGTGGTATCCGCGAGGCAGTGCGATCATGCAGTTGAAGTTACCTAATGCGTTGGCCAAGGGCCAGCCGGGGATTTTGCATCAATATGTATGTCATTGTCCGTGGCTGGGTTCCTTATTCATGGCTAATACCAATATCCCCTTAGGCTGAGAGGCTAGTTGCCTTCGAGTTCACGAGGGGAAATGAAAGGAAGCCGCACAGTCTCATCTTCATCGGGGGCTTGTCAGATGGACTTTGGACCGTGGACTATATGACGGACTTGGTTGCAGCGCTGCAACACAGCGAATGGTCTGTGTTCTCCCTGGTCTTGTCCTCTTCTTATAATGGGTGGGGCGTAGGTCGTCTGGGGAAAGACATTGATGAAATTGCGCAGTGTGTCCAGTACGTGCGTGACTATAAGAAACAACTCTTTGGGGCCGGAAAGGTAGCCATCATGGGCCATTCGACGGGGAGCCAAGATGTGATGCATTATCTTAGCTGTCCGAACCCAAGGCCTAGACATCCGGTTTTGGATAGGGAAATTGATCCATTGACGAGGACTCCTGTCGATGGTGCCATTATGCAGGCACCTGTTTCGGACAGGGAAAGTATTCTCAGCGTCCTGCATGATGGGACGGAAAGAGACAGCCCAGAAACCATGCAAGAGCTTTACCGTAAAGCCGTTGCAGGTGCGAAGAAGAATACCTATGAGGATGACGATACAGTCGAAACTATCGTCCCGCTTTCCGTGACCGCCAGAATCGGATACCCATCGTCTACAGCTGTCAGTAGTCGCCGGTTCCTTAGCCTGGCTAGTCCCGATAGCCCACACAAGCCTGACGAGGACGACCTGTTCAGTTCAGATCTGAGTGACGAGCAGCTTCAGCAGACTTTTGGCGTCATTGCGTCTCGCGGACTGCTGAAATCTAAGTTTATGGTGCTGTACTCGGGAAGAGATCAGTCTGTGCCACCGTGGGTGGACAAGGAGGCTTTGTTGAAGCGGTGGTCCACCGCGGCGGGACAGTCCTGGCATCCAAAGAGTATGATTATCCCCAATGCTTCACATGCGCTGAGTGACCTTGATCAAGCGGAGCCAAGACGCATTCTGACCGAGAGGGTCATCGGGTATTTGGACGAAGTGACGAAGCAAATTTAGAGCTCTGGACCAAAAGTATTGCCCAAGTATAACATAGTCCGACTTATTGTTGACAATGCCCAGTACTGGTTCATGGCTTGTGACTCTAGTCTGTTTCAAGATAGCTGTTCTCTTAAGACCCCCTTGCAGTGAATGCTTCAACACAGTGCCGTAGATATTTTTTCGTGGACGTCAACTGTAGTGAATGGGTATTCTATGATCCTGATCAGGTATTCAATATATTCTGTTGTAGTTGTGTTCTAATGTATATATTCTTTTCATTTTGTTTTCTATTACATAATGTCGGCAGACGCGATTGACCCGACAGATAACTGCCCCTTTGCTATTCGCTTTCTTTGGCATATATTAAGCGAACTATGAACGAGCCTCTCCTTTCATAATTAATATATGCCAAATACATCCTCCGAACCTAGCGAGCTTAGGCTGACATCGCCGATCTAAGGAAGCACGAGGTTCAGTGAATCAAGTAGCAGACATATCAGATGATTGATCCCCAGATCTGCACTATCACATTTATGCACTATATATCGCAAACGCTCCAGACCAAATGATTGTGTTCATCAAGGTCCATAATTTGCCTCCATATTACATAATTGGGCATCAATGCTGCTGCCTACCTATATAGTGGGTTAGTTGTGTTTTATGCATGTATCAAGTTGGCATTCTGAGGAATCAGGTTTCAAAAATTGTCATTGCCGACAGTCGGCTCCGGAGCATGTATAGGTGCCGAGGTGACAACAGGTCATGAATGCTAGATGATCCACCTGCTGTGTCATAATGAGTCTCTATGATTTTATTAACATGTTCCAGGCTTGGTATCTCGTCTCAGACAACTATACACTCCAAGAAGATGATGCTACTTTCTCTTCGGCTGACTCAGGCTACTCCAAATAAGTATCTGTTAACATTGATCCATAGTTAGTTAGTTATATACCACGATTACTAATACCCTGACCTACAGGCTCCACCAAGTGTAAATTGAATCGCACCCGTTCAACCAAGGCCTGGCCTTTCGGTATAGTGACCAATTACGCTTAGTGTAGGCGATAGAGTTGCATTAGTTCTATTGTTGGTGCGAACATTCCCCATTCATGGGCAGACGACTCTCCTAGCCGAGAAACGCAGTTGAATCGCAATATAAACAGGCTTCGTAAACACCATCGGATATCCGGATAGTGTGGCCTATAGGAATCGGAGCTGTAACCGATTCCTGATAATATGCGGTGTGATGCGTGCAGGTGTGTGTGTGGCATAGATGCAGTATCACATCTCGTACGCGGGTGACTATTATGCCAAGGGGATACCGATACATGTCCCCAACGACTCAAAGAGGTGGTAATTGATAGCGGATGTTGGGATGACACTATGATTAGGACGTGGTGGGCCTGAAACTACCGATTTTTCCCTCGGAGTGTCAGTACTTGTGCTCGGTATGTAGTCCATCTTCTATTGGGTGAGAAACAGGTTCTCCAGAGTTGCATGTTTTTTTTTTTTTTTTTTATGGGAGAGGTGACGCAAATCTTATCTGTATGTATGTCTATGCGATTGAAACTCCTGTGTGATAGTGATTGCGGCCCAAGAGGCGGGGCGTGACTAAGATTCCAACAGGGATAGTTAACTAGTTATAACTACTGCTGCAGGCGACAGTGGAACCTTGGGGTTACTTGCATCTTCTGACATGTGCTCTCATCGGAGTAAGCAGGACACATTCACCAATATTAAAGTAGACTAGGCTGGATCCTGCCAGGTTTTGACATCGAGACTCAAAAAGAGTGAGGCCAAGAACTCTATTTCTAATCGATCTCGTCAGTCGAATATTCCAGTAGATACTTATAATCGATCCGAAAGATAAGATACAGTTTGCTGAGAAATCAGAATAGCCTCGAGGGCATGGAAACTCGGACTGCAAGCCATTGGACGCCATGATCCGCTATGGAGAACGCCAAGATATAATAAGCAAGCCTCGATGGTGATCTATCAGATTTGATGGCTTGAGGCTGAGTTTGAGGGCAAACTTAGACAGCTGGTGACAGCAAGCTTAAGATATACATCGGACAAGCGGTCTAAGCGATCGCCTTGGACGGACGACCACTGCAGCATCACCACCACAGTTGATAGGCCGGGATTACGAGAACGCTATTGCCGAACGGCTGACTCGTTCGAGGCCGGCAAAGGTCCGTGCGGTCCAGCCGACTGAGTCGACCTTCTTTTCTCTTCGGTGGGGGCCGACCAAACCCTAACCCGGAAAGCCATCCGGGTAAACCTAGCTCAAAGTCTGAATGCATCTTTAAACAGTCTCTTTGTTCATCCAAAGTATATCCAAGCGAGTCAAAGCATAGGTTCCTCTCAGACCTATTCTTCTTCCTTTCTTCTCCTCAAGAAAGGTATCGTAAGCGCAATCGCTCAGATGGACGTCATCGAAGTTTCAACTTCCTGGATTGAGAGACCCATAGCAATAGCACGTAAGTTCCTAGACGGTACTAATAATAAGTCGGTACCATGATCGAATTGGATTTCGATATGTAAGCACGCAGGGAAAATTTAAGCTCGTTTCTGTTTTGCACGGAGTTATTGCTAAACCCACAACGGATTTATGGCTAACTGAATACGGATCGACCTCATTATCCAACATTTTAAGTGCAAGTCCGCCATCGGGGTTACTCCTGAACTAAACCCGGTTGGTTGCCCGCCATCGAAGAGAATTTTCAGGAAATCCCCGTTCGGTCATTCCACGATAGGCAGCTGGCCAATTCCGGGGCCAATCATGGCGCGGGAGAAGGTAATAGCAAACGGTCTCGTCCCCATCAGGCACGAGCCTTCCAGTCAGCAAATACGAAAATCTTTTCTAACGCCGGGCGCTTATCTCCGCCACACTAATCCTAACTGGGATATGTCAGCCTCCCCGGTCTTCTTCCTACTCCTTCTCCTCTTCTTCTTCAATTAGGTTCTTTTGGACAGATGAACGCATTGCCTCTCTGTATAATCCCCCATCGAACTACAAGTGACTATCGTGATGTGGGGTGGGGAAACATCATCAAATTTAAGAAGCGGACTTAAACGACTCGGACTCTTGTATCCGCAGAGGAATGTATATTCCGCCCTACTCAGGTTGACTCAAGTTGACTCAATATCCACTCAGATCCACTCCAAGCGTGGTTTCGGGGCTCCACTCGAGCTCCTTCAGGCGAGCTTTTCTTAATACACTTTTCCCTTTTTTTTTTTTTTCTTTTTTACTTCTTCCTGTGGTGCTCCACCGTTCGGCTTTCTTCGACGGATGTTCTGCCGTCATTCTGTCTTCTGATTGACTGGTTTAATCCGTCTCCTCCGTTTCTTGAGATTGAACCCTCCAGATGAGTATCCACTGGGCCTTATTCACCTACCAGATCTGACAAATCCAAAGAATTTTCCCGCTGTTGGCTCCCGGAGTTAGTAATGCAGCTAGCCGTTTATATAACTCATGATGCAATGCCATCACCCGCTTCAACTTCCCTATCAACAGCTTCTTCTGTTGCGCTTAGGTGCCCTTGGTGGTCTCTCATTTTGGACTCTCTCCCCTCTTGGAAACCGCGCGCAGAACGAGAGCGGTCGCATTTCTTTCAATTACCTATCTAATCATTGTCTTTCTTTCTTTCTCTTTCTATATTGATTGCTGTATATATTCGCATATACATATCTATACCCGCTAAACCACACAGATACCCGTCATCATCTGACATCCCGTTTATTTTTATTTTTCTTTTTTTATAATCGGCTGGAGAAGTCACCAGACCACGCCTAACGGATCTTTAAATCTAATCTTACATTTAATACTCAATCACGCATCGATTGCTGGCTTTTTGAAGCTGATATCGCATATACGAAAGTACACGAGACGAGGCCGATCCCAAAATGGCCGACGAACATCGTCAGCCTGAGGCATCGTCCAATACGGCTGCAAATCCCTACAACCACCCGGTGGCTTCGGAGCATACATTGAATTCCTTGAACTCAACCTCGACCAGTGAAACCGATGCCTCGGCTGACGCTGACGCGAGATGGGGTGAACGCAACCAGGGGGACCCTGTTTCCCGTCGCGGTGCGATGGAGGAGTTCGAAGAGATGCGAAGGGAAGTGACCAAGCTCAGTCTCCACCGGACTCGTTCAGCCAAAGATGCTCGACGCCGCTCACGGGCCGAGGGCCGCGACGAAGAGAAGGCGCTTGAGGATGAACAGGCTTCGTCGACGGATGAGTACCAGGGTGGTTTTGACCTGAGCGAGTTTTTGATGGGCGGCCATCTGGAACGACGAACCACAGCAGGAGAGCCGGCGAAAAAGGTGGGCGTTGCCTTCAAGAATGTCACGGTGAAAGGCGTCGAGACAGGTGCCTCCTTCGTCCGGACCCTCCCTGATGCCGTCATTGGAACTTTTGGTCCCGACCTGTACAATATTCTGTGCCGCTTCGTACCTGCCCTCCACTTCGGTAAGCGGCCTCCGGTAAGAGACCTGCTCCATGACTTCAGTGGAGCTGTCAGGGAAGGCGAAATGATGCTAGTACTCGGTAGGCCTGGAGCAGGATGTTCCACCTTCTTGAAGACGATTGCCAATGACCGGGGAGCCTTCGCAGGGGTTGAGGGTGAGGTCAGTTACGGTGGCCTCTCAGCGGAAGAGCAACATAAGCATTTCCGCGGTGAGGTGAACTACAACCAGGAAGATGATCAGCATTTCCCGAACCTCACCGTCTGGCAAACGCTAAAGTTTTCATTGATTAACAAGACAAAGAAGCATGACAAAGCTAGTATCCCCATTATTATCGACGCGCTCTTGAAGATGTTCGGCATCACCCATACAAAGAACACTTTGGTGGGTAATGAGTATGTCCGTGGTGTCTCTGGCGGAGAGAGAAAACGTGTCAGTATCGCTGAAACGCTCGCGACCAAGTCTTCCGTCGTCTGCTGGGATAACTCCACCAGAGGACTGGATGCCAGCACTGCTCTTGACTATGCCAAGTCGCTCCGAATCATGACGGATGTCAGCAAGCGGACTACTTTGGTTACTCTGTACCAGGCGGGTGAGAGTATTTATGAGCTAATGGACAAGGTTCTGGTGATTGATGCGGGACGTATGCTCTACCAAGGCCCTGCCAACGAAGCAAAGCAGTACTTTGTAGACCTCGGGTTTTATTGCCCAGAGCAATCCACAACTGCTGATTTTCTCACTTCCCTGTGTGACCCGAATGCCCGCCAGTTTCAGCCAGGCCGCGAAGCGTCGACACCAAAGACCGCTGAAGAACTCGAGGCGATCTTCAAGCAGAGTGAAGCGTACAAGCAGATCTGGAATGAAGTGTGTGCGTACGAGAAGTTGCTACAGGACACTAACCAGGAAGACACTCGCCGTTTTCAGAAAACTGTGGCTCAGTCAAAGAGTAAGACGGTCTCGAAAAAGTCCCCTTACACGGTCTCCATTGTCAGACAAGTCGCGGCTTGTGTGCAGCGAGAATTTTGGCTCCTGTGGGGAGACAAGACCTCCCTGTACACCAAATACTTCATTATTATCTCGAACGGTCTTATCGTCTCTTCTTTGTTCTATGGTGAATCATTGGATTCTAGCGGAGCTTTCTCGCGTGGTGGTGCCCTGTTCTTTTCGATTTTGTTCCTCGGTTGGCTGCAGCTGACAGAACTGATGCCTGCGGTTTCCGGGCGTGGTATCGTCGCACGCCATAAGGATTATGCCTTCTACCGTCCGTCTGCCGTGGCAATTGCCCGAGTTGTGGTCGATTTCCCGGCCATCTTCTGCATGGTTGTGCCGTTCACCATCATCGTCTATTTCATGGCAGGGCTCGATGTGGATGTCTCCAAGTTCTTTATTTACTTCTTGTTTGTGTACACGACGACGTTCTGTATCACATCCCTGTACCGCATGTTCGCAGCTCTATCTCCGACTATCGACGATGCCGTTAGATTTGCTGGTATTGCTCTAAACGTGTTGATTCTGTTCGTTGGTTATGTCATTCCCAAGCAAGGACTCATTGATGGCTCGATCTGGTTCGGTTGGTTGTTCTACGTGAACCCGCTTTCGTACAGTTATGAGGCGGTCCTTACGAACGAATTTTCGAACCGACTTATGCCATGTGCTCCCTCGCAGCTCGTGCCTCAAGGCCCAGGTGTGGACCCAAGATACCAAGGTTGTGCTCTCACGGGGTCCGAGCTCGGTAAGGCAGACGTTGCAGGAAGCCGGTATCTTGAGGAAAGTTTCCAATTGTAAGTGCCCCTTGTTCGTTACTATCTCTATATCAACACACTCACATATCATAGCACCCGGCACCATTTGTGGCGCAATTTTGGTGTGGTCATTGCTTTCACGGTCCTGTACCTCCTTGTCACTGTCATAGCTGCTGAAGTTCTGTCATTTGTCGGAGGCGGCGGTGGCGCGTTGGTCTTCAAGAAGTCCAAGCGTTCCACGAAACTCAGAGCGCAAAACGGCAGAGGGAACGATGAAGAGCAAGTCCAAAATAGAGGGGATAATGCGGCATTGTCACGTGGAGAAGCGAAGTCTTCTAGCAACGGTGAATCTATGCAGCGCCTTTCTGCTAGCGATCGAATTTTCACCTGGTCGAATGTAGAATACACGGTGCCATACGGAAATGGGACAAGGAAACTCCTCAACGGCGTTAACGGTTATGCGAAGCCCGGTCTGATGATCGCTTTGATGGGTGCTTCCGGAGCAGGCAAGACCACTCTACTCAACACCTTAGCTCAGCGTCAGAAGATGGGTGTGGTCACCGGCGACATGCTTGTTGACGGTCATCCTCTCGGTACCGATTTCCAGAGAGGTACTGGTTTCTGTGAACAAATGGATCTCCATGACAATACCGCGACCATTCGGGAGGCCCTTGAGTTCTCGGCACTTCTTCGTCAGGACAGGGACACCCCACGTCAAGAAAAGCTTGACTATGTTAACCAGATTATCGACCTACTGGAGTTGGAGGATATCCAGGACGCTATCATTGGTTCTCTTAATGTTGAACAGAAGAAGAGAGTGACTATCGGTGTCGAGCTAGCTGCGAAACCCAGTCTTCTCCTATTCCTTGACGAGCCCACCAGTGGTCTGGACAGTCAGGCAGCCTTCTCAATCGTGAGATTCCTGAAGAAGCTCTCCCAGGCGGGACAGGCCATTGTGTGCACAATTCACCAGCCGTCATCCATGCTGATTCAGCAGTTCGACATGGTCTTAGCCCTTAACCCTGGCGGAAACACTTTCTATTTCGGCCCTATTGGCCCCGAAGGTCGCGATGTGATTAAGTATTTTTCTGACCGCGGCGTCGTCTGCCCACCATCGAAGAATGTCGCAGAGTTTATCCTCGAAACAGCAGCGAAGGCGACTAAGAAGGATGGTAGATCCATTGATTGGAATGAAGAGTGGCGCAACTCTGAAGAGAGCCGCCGCATTCTGGACGAAATTCAGCAGATTAGGGAAGAACGTAGCAAGATTCCAGTTGCCGAGAAGGGCGTCGAATACGAGTTTGCTGCTCCTACGTGGACGCAGACTGTCCTACTGACCGAAAGGCTCTTCAGACAGTACTGGAGAGATCCATCGTACTATTATGGAAAGCTCTTCGTCAGTGTCATCATTGGTATTTTCAACGGATTCGTAAGTATCTTCCGATCTCTCAGAATTTGAGCATTACTGACTAGGGCAGACCTTCTGGATGCTCGACAACTCCATCAGTAGCATGCAAAATCGCATGTTCTCCATCTTCTTGATCATTCTTATCCCTCCCATTGTCCTGAACAGTATCGTCCCCAAGTTCTATATCAACCGCGCCCTTTGGGAAGCTCGTGAATATCCTAGCCGTATCTACGGATGGTTCGCCTTCTGCACGGCAAACGTCGTTTGTGAGATTCCGATGGCAATCGTTTCCGCCTTGATCTATTGGCTGCTCTGGTACTACCCAGTCGGCTTCCCCACGGACTCGAGCAGCGCTGGATACGTCTTCCTTATGTCGATGCTTTTCTTCCTCTTCCAGGCCAGCTGGGGTCAATGGATTTGTGCCTTCGCCCCGTCGTTCACCGTGATTTCCAACGTACGTTCCTATTTCCCATGACCCAATCCGATTTACCATACTAACATTCCTACCCAGGTCCTTCCCTTCTTCTTTGTCATGGTCAATCTGTTCAACGGTATCGTTCGTCCATACAAAGACTACCCAGTCTTCTGGAAATACTGGATGTACTATGTCAACCCGGTGACCTGGTGGCTCCGAGGCGTGATCTCAAGCGTTTTCCCCTCTGTCCACATCGAATGTGCCTCGAAGGAAGCCACCCACTTCAATCCTCCCCCAGGCTCCACCTGCCAACAGTACGCAGGAAACTTCGTCTCCAATATCGCTGGAGTGGGATACTTGGTCAACCCGGACGCCACGGAAGACTGCCAATACTGCCCCTTCGCTAACGGCACAGAATACATGAACACGCTTAACGTCCACGATGGCGATAAGTGGCGGTGCTTTGGTATCTTCCTGGCCTTTGTGATTATCAACTGGGCGTTGGTTTATTTCTTCATCTACACTGTCCGCGTCCGGGGATGGTCCTTCGGAATGGGATACCTCTTCGGCGGACTCGGTATGATCATTGATGGTGTGAAAAAGGTCTTCTCCAAGAAGTCCGAAAAGGAACAGAATTAGATGGTGGTTGGTGTTCTAGTTCTGGTTGGTTTGTTCAACTTTCTATCGATAAATTCGAAACGGAAGAAAAGCAGCAACAAAAACATGGCAGGAGAAAGTGATAAGTAAATAGAGGAGGAGAAAGAAATTTTATATGGAACATAATCGATATCCCGAGGAAATATAGATAGAAAAAGCATTTGTTCATAGACAGCGTTAATATAATTCTTGCATATATGCCAACTCTACTTACTAGTAACACAGTATGAATATTTCGCAAGATTATATACTTCATATCTTAGATAGACATTCACAGCCTTGATCCATGTAGATATAATCCAACACAAGAATTTTATTACCTTGTAATCAAAAGGTCGCCGACTATTCCGGCCTAGGCACGTTTTGCCCCTGAATCTGTCAACCGTACATTATATTTAGTTAAACAATAGCCATTTCCTCCCTAAAAAATATTACTGGAGACACCTCTCGAAGCCTTTCCACGCAATTCAAACACCCAACATACAACTTGCCCTGTAGAGACCTAAAACCTCCGCCCTCACGCACACACCGCAGTAAGCCGCAAAGTATCAATATTGCACAAACGGCTCCCTATGTTAGCACACTATTCCAGATTAGCCCCGTCCTCACCACCAAAAGAACCTTGCAAATTAGTAGTCCCTTCCTACCGGATTCATCGCATTACAAGGAGCCGTCCAGTCATTCCCATTGGCATCCATGGCCTGACATGTGCCACACATGCCGTGCGTGGTGCATATCTTCAGGCATGCAGTGTTAGTTACAGACAAATGCTTTTCGGGGCTGTATTTACCGTACACCTTCGACATATCTTTCCTCCTGGCGTGTTTTGCCCTGCGTGTTGCCACTCCCTTCGATACGAAGGCCGCTTGCGCTGACTCTTCTACCGCCTGTACTTGGAACTCCTGCACCGGTCCCAACTCCGGCCCCAGTGCTGCCACCACCACCACCACCACCACTATAATCTGGATTAGATGTACCGGGTGGAATGGCGCCTGCGGTGCTGGCGTAGAGAATGGCAAAGATAAATGTAGAAATAATACTAGACTTCATATTGGGCGGCGTACTGTACACTGGCTCCGAGAGGGATAGAAAAAAATAAAAAATAAAAATAAGAATACAATGGATATCGCACGGCTTGAAGTATTCACTCGTGTGGGGTATGGCAAATAAATAGCCATTAGCATTGTGAGACCTATTGCCCATTGCCCTTTGCCCTCCCCGTTAATGTGTTAGTTTGTTCATGGAATTGCGTGGCTTCGGGGGCTACATGGGGCAACCTGAGAGTCTTTGTGTCGCTTTATTTAGGCTTGCACGTTTCGGTTCGGTTTCTGCTGTATGGTTCGTTCTGCCCCGTGGGCTAGGGATATCGAAGAATACCGCCGAAAGTCCAGAGGATATGATAATATATAGTATATGAGTTCGAGACACTGGAATCTTGTTTAAAGGAAAGTGTGCTGGATGACCCGAAGGGGTCAGTCTGCCTCTTTGTTGCTGGAACGGGAAGCTATACTACCTCATATTAAAAGCACGGCGAGCCGTTGCCCCAGCCACTTTGCAAGGGCCACTCTTTGTTGAAGATCCACCTTGCTCATCGGATCAAGTACTCGAAAGACTTTGGGTAAGAGTCGTAGGAGAAAGCCCGGTTCCGTCTCGAAATATGTATTAAACCAGATATTTAGTGTGACTATCTAAAATCAGGACCAATTGGTAGAGTGCAGTTGCAACATAAACCCCAATCTGAATCACATTCCACTTTCTGAATTGAACCAAGGCTTGCGGTTTGGCCCGTACTGAGGTGCTGGGAGACGCATCGGTACAGGCACAATGCCTTCGAAGATATCCAACATAGTCCCAGATTCATCGTTCGGGGATCGGTTCTGCTCCGACACGACATCCCCTCTACTAATGACAGGTATGAGCACACCGCACTCCCAGTTGCGACAGTTGAGTTTCGGTTCCTTTGTTGCCCGCTCCTGAACGAGACGGCCCCTATTTATTGTCAGTTTCCCGAATAGCAAAGCACAATCAAAGGATGAGGAAGAGAATGATATGAGATCACTCACCAAGCACTCTCTGAAAGATTTGCACTTCCCACATAAGCCCAGGCTCGGCATTGAGAGTTATCAGGTAGCGTCGCTGGGTCATCCGGTCTTACGTAGAGAATCTAGAACGTCTTAGCAGAAGCTCGGTGTGTTCTTCCGCTTTCCTCAAAAGCACAGCAACTTACTTTATTATGCATCAGTAGTCCAGGCCTCTGACTTACACAGTCGCGTAGAACCTGACGAGGGAATTTCGGGCCCGTATACCACCTTGACTGAAAGCAAATGGTGCCTGCAGATTGTGGCCCACCTTTTGTGTCATTAACTGTTGTCTCTGAAGGGAAGTAGACTCTGAATCTATCCTTCCACTCCTCGGCAGTCGACTTATCAATGAGCTGTGTAGGGTTGCTGCGGCTCCGGGCAGGGAAGGATTTTGTGGTGCGAAGGACGTATTCTGTCGACCCATCGTCGCCTGCACACAGAGTTAACCTGTGGCTCGTTTATGAGGGGGTGTCGCACTTAATTACTGCTTACCTTGGCATGCAAGATATATGGACCTCAAGAACTCATCCGTCAAGGAACCAATGGATGACGCCTATTATATATCAGGAAGTGCTCTGTGCGCTGGTACAAATGTAAACTCACAACGAAATCGACGTTGAGAGGTTTAGATGTTCGCAAACCAAGAGAGTCCACTGCACGGCCCAAGCCGCAGTACCCTGTACGCCGCCACGAATCTCCTGTATGCGAGCCACCTCTGGATGAAATCAGAGATCGGGTCATGCTATCCGCGTAAAGGAGCTTACATAGTGTGGACAAATGCAATATGCGCAGTTTTACTGAAGTCATAGTCGGAGAGTTTGGCGATAATATTCTCGTGCAAAGTGCTGGCTTTTAGAAAGTAAGTCAACTCGTCGTAGAAGGCTGTTCGTGGAAAGTCAGAGTCTTTATCGCTCCTTTTTGGCAGATCAATAAGGAAAACACTCTAAGTTATGGTTAGCCGGTAGCAGATTAGGAATGTCAGATCATGCGGTACATTTTCCATAAGACCACCTATTTCACCCCAGTCATACGGAGTCAGGTTGGCAGTGGGGACCACAATTCGAACGTATCCTGAGTGGAACAGTAGCATCAACTTTGAATGCATGCAATTCACTTGGCCATCCATCGGTGGAAAACATAATCTAAGGTTGCTCATAGCAGCGGTTTCGGACTGGTACTGAAGTTTCTAGAACCACAAGGTGGTTAACTTCACGTTCCAAAAGGGTGAACACCAAGGCAAGAAAATAAGGACCAGCAATTGGCATGATTTTAGGTCCCAGCTAGACAACAACTACATGGATAACGTCGAATGAAACTTACCGTAGATTCATCCTTGGCTTGCATCACCAAGTAGAATCGGGTGTTTGCTGTATTCAATTTTGAGAAAAGCCATTCCATTTCCCACATAAACGAGCTGAGGACAGCAAGTTGTAAGTCAGATTTCTGAAGTACCTCCTCGATCTTGATATCATCACCCTGCCGGGGGCAACCAAAGGCCCATGTTTTCTTAACGACCCCGTTGGGAAACTGAACCGACGGGGTCGGAGATGGGATCTGCACTGGTTGATTATCTCCTGCTGGCGTTGTACGTGAGGAATTTGACCCAGACGATGTGTCGGCCACTGATATAACAGGACCGGAAGACCTTGGAGGTGTTCCAGTTCTTGCGTGCTTTGCATCCCGTTGGTCATCCGATACGGATTCTTCAGCCTTTCTCTTGTTCAGTCGCGCCAGGCGCTCTTTCTCCATCTGCCTTCGATCCATGCCCAATAAGCCAGCTGTTTGTGACGGCGCCTGTGTGCTGTCTGGGGCTTCAGCTCTACTGGACAAAGGGGTGTTAGAAGCCTTGCTGTCATTGTTGTCAGCAGATGGCAAGTGATGTCTCGAAGAGCCATGTTCATCTTCTATGGCACCTTGCATAGACAATTCAATCGCCTTTTTAAGGTCTTCATCTTCGTCGTCATCTTCCTCGCCCGAATCGGTTTCATCTCCATCAGTCTCGGAACCAATGACAGAGTTTGACTTGGGAAATATGGGTATCACGTCATCATCAGAATCTGCAGTCAAGTCAACAACTTCATGTTGACGCCCATTATGGCTGCTGTCTTCATGACTACTGGAATCCCTGAGAGAGGCAGCGATTGCAGCCCTCAGATCAGGGTCATCTAGATCGTCGGGATTCATTTTAGATCATTAAATACTCCAAGTGAGGTATTAGGCAGCAAAGTGGAGTTGGATCTGAGACAGAAAAAAGGGGAATGGCAACTCGAGGGGGGTAATTATGTGGTTAGTAGAGACTCATGCTCTGACAAAGGACCTCGAGGGAGGTTTATGGTGATACGGAACACCAAGGAGTTGTGTTGACGGTAAGACGTCACGGGGGTATTTGGTTGTCCCGATGGATGATTCCTCAACAAAGTGGGAATCAATGACCTCAAAGCTAAACGTAACACCGAAAGAGAAGATAGAAAGACATTCAACAGACGTGGAGGGCAGTGAAAGAACAGTCAAGTCATGCAAAGCAGAAGACAACAAGAAACATGAGAGACCTGGTCCAATGATATTCAATCTCCCCGGCAACACGTGACTGCGAGGATATTATAGGTATGGATGTATTTCTGTTGTCTATAGTCTGGACAATGAACGAAGGTATCATGGTATTTAATATTTGATTTCAAGTCCCTCGAAAGAGTGTCAGCTACTGTCTTAGTATCCTGCTCAGGTGTATTACGTAGAGAGACCGTACAAGCTTCACGGTAAACAAAGAGGGAATCGTCGTAGTTTTCTTGCATGGATTGACCATATCATTATATACAGGCTTTGAATAGGTATAAGGAATAGTAATGAGATCATTGTTCAAGTATTGCAAGCCAATTACTGTGAGAAAATACGACCCTGGTTTGTACTAGTGTACCTTCCTTTTCCTTCTTCTGTTGGCGCAAAAACTTAGCTGGTTATTTATTGCGTGAATGAAAGTAAAGTGTTATATGCAATTAGGAGAACAGTTGAATTCTCCTGTCCTGGCTACCTTCTATACTTTAAGCATCCTTAGTCACTTCAAGCGCAACATATGATCGCATAATCGATATGCTCCTTGATAGCTCCAGAGATAGCTGACCTCTCTTAGCTTTCATCCAGGCCATTTCCCATTCCCTTATCAGACGAAAACATGGATGCAGGTCCTCAAGGAATGAAGACTTCACCCCATAAGCAAGACACCAGTCTGCAGAGCCCCACGAGCAAGCCAAACTTCAATCGTCTCGAACCAAGTAACCCAGGGTAATTATCTCTCCCTTTGACGCACGCTATTCAACAAAGCTCCCAACTAACAAGAACATGGATGGTAGAATCATCATTCGCTTTTATAGGAGAGTCGTTGAGGGCAGCATCACTCGACTTGGATCGTACGATGGACAACCAAACTACCATGACATGATTGTTCCGGAGGCGTGCAAAATGGTCAGGAGAGAACTAATTGTCGGCTGCCGCTATCGTAGCTGCTATCTTTATCGCCTGCCAATCGACGTACGGTTCAAAATCTATGCCGCTTTGTTCGCGCATGACGGAACTGCACTCGAGATCGGGAGGCTCAAACACACAGGAATAGGTAATCTACAAATTCTTAGGACATCGCACCTCATTTACCATGAAGCTTCGATTGCCCTATACCATTCGCTTAGTTACCGCAAACTCTTTCTCCGAGCGTATGGTTCTTTCTCCGCAGACCTTCTCAGACGTTATCCGAAGTCGTTACCGTGCTGTCGCTTTAAGGCGTTTGAGGTCAATCTTGAATACCCCTGTCGTAACGAACATCTTAACTGGAGCAGACCACTGGGATCGGCCGTATTTTTGATAGGAGCAGAGAACCCTAGAGTGGCTTTGCATCGTCGTTGGGCATTTGCAGAATTCATTACAGCATTGAAAACGGCCGAGCCCTTGCGTATATTTTCGCTGACCGTCGTTGTAACAGAGAACTGGAACTTGCCCGGTTTCAATGAGAAAGACTTGGTCAACGCCTTATTTAGCGGCGCGTTCAAATTCCTTGGAAAGCTAACATTGCGCGGTTTTACTGAGGAGGAGAGAAACCGCCTGTGCCATCTTGTACACACTCTAAGGGACCCACCCCTGAAGATTGAGCGGAATAAGACGAAGATACAGGGACCAGGATTCTCGGTTTGGATTTGTGAGTCTCTCTCTTTCTTTTATTAAACCTTAGATGCACTGAAGCACAAGGTCTATTATTGCGAAGAAAACATCCCGATCAGCGTCGGCGGTCTCAAGTCCAAGTCCAACGACCAGAAGCCGCTTTTCATTCGGTGCTTTTGTCACAATGGCGCTAGCTATCTGACGAGCATATAGCTGACCAACTGTGTCATGTCCAGAAACACGGCCTCCTAGAAGTGAAGTCGCAGTGAGACTGCTGATCGGAAGAAGACTGTCATCCGAGTCTGGGAAGGTGTGGGCGCCTTCAGTTCCAGGATTTTTGTTTTCCAATGGTACATGTAACTGTCATCCATTAGTTGGATATCTGAGAAGAAAATCATTGTGGACTACAAACCCAGTGACCAAGTCGGCCCTTTTGTGAAATTGTTACCAAGATTCTGTCATTGAAGCTCATGCACATTACATCTGTCTGAATACCATTGACCAGTCCAGCAACTTGTTTGGTAGTGGCAGGAAAGGGAAGATTTAATGGCTCCAGAAATTCACTGAAATTGAAAGGTTCGGCCATGGCTAGGGACTTGCTTCAAGTGATAAAGAAAATGCAGCGCAAGAGGTACTGTTTACCCAGAATACAGTAAGGGAAATACGTTCTGATACATGAAGTTGTAAACAGTTTCCATGGAGGGGAGTGCTGAATACGTGGGCGGTGAACATAATCTCACCGCTTTGAGGCAGAATCTCTCCGCCGCCTAATTTTTTTCTGTTCCCTTTCCATTGACTATCACCACAAAGCTCATCAATCTGCTTTTCCTGTGTATTTTTCTTCTTTGTCTGTCGGTGTGAACAAAGGTATCATTATACCCACACCATGGCGAAGTTTGTTCCTCGTCAGAGGAAGCAGAAGCACAGGCAGAAGGAGGCGGCAGATGCTGCGGTCGATAGCAATGCCGCCGAAGTTTTGCCCATCTCTAAAGAACAGAAGGAAGCCAAAAGGCGAAAGCTGCGTGAGGAACTGAGAGCGCAACACACCAAAATCTCAGCAAAGAAACAAAAACGCTTAGATAAATATATTGTATGTAGACTCTATGCAAGAAATGAATTGTGGAGTATACCCTCCAATCTAACCATCTCTGCAGGAAAATAAACTCAAGAAAGAAGAAAATGTTGAACTGCTCAAGAAGCTTGAAAAAACAACGTTGGATACTTCTAATTTCGAGAGTTCTAGAGAAATAGGGAAGCGCAAAAGACTTGACGAAAACGGTACCATTGAAGGATCTAGGTATACACATGACAGTGCCCCCCAAGCGGAGCTGTCGGGCGACGAAACAGATGATTCACTCCCTCCTTCGGGGACAGATTTTGCTATCACTAAAGCACAAGGTCCTGCTGAGAAGCCGGCGGAACCTGTCGTGGTTGGTAGCGGGTTAAAGCGCCCTCTCGAACTTGGAGCGGACGGATTTCCCGTTCTCAAAAAGCGCAAACGAGCGCCGAAATTGAAAACGAAGGCCACCAAGATACAAGACTTGCCATGGGAGGGATTTGACTCTGATGAAGGCGAGAATGAGAGCGAGGACGGCAGCGCCTCAGATGATCGGAAACGCAAAGACGAAGAGGTGGAGGTGCTGGATAAGGTGAATAAAGACGAGGATGATGAATCTTCAGAGGACGCTTCTGAGGATGAGCAAAGCGAAAACGAGGATGAGGATAAAGAAGAGGAAGAAGAAAGCGACGATGAAGACGACGATGAAGACGAAGACGAAGACGAAGACGATGAAGAAGACGATGAAGAAGAGGAGGACAGTACCAGCAACCCGCCTCGCCAGTCCGCGTTCAAAGCCTGGGCCAGACAACAAATTAATGAAACAGTCGGTTTCAAGCCCACTACCGTCCCTGTCGTATCAGAAGAGCAACCCTTCGCCCCCAAGTTAAAAGAAAAGCCCGTGCGGAATACTGTTTACGAAGAAGAGCCACTTCCCGCAGAACTTCAAGTTACCAAAGGCAACCCCTACAGAAAGGCGTTCCATGTCCAAGTTGACCGCTCGGAGGATATACAAAACGCACGGTTGGGGTTGCCCGTTGTTGGAGAAGAACAGAAAATCATGGAAGCAATCTACAACAATTCATCTGTCGTTATATGGGGTGCTACTGGTAGCGGTAAAACTACCCAGTTACCACAATTTTTGTTCGAAGCTGGCTTTGGAAGCCCGGATAGCCCCAATCCGGGCATGATAGCGGTAACACAACCTCGCCGAGTTGCTGCCGTCAGTATGGCGAAACGTGTAGGCGACGAGTTGGGTCAGTTCTCCGATCGGGTATCTTATCAGATTCGGTTTGAGAGCACTGCTTCGAAAAAGACCGCAATCAAGTTCATGACTGATGGTATATTGATCCGGGAAATTGCGGATGACTTCTCGCTGAGCAAATACTCTATCATCGTTATCGATGAGGCCCACGAACGAAGTGTTAACACAGATATCCTCATTGGTATGGTGAGCCGTATTGTGGACCTGAGGAAAGCTATGAGTGAAGAAGACCCAGCTGTGAAACCTTTAAAACTGGTGGTTATGTCTGCCACTCTACGTATATCCGACTTCACACAAAATCCCAACCTCTTCCGTCAGGGACCACCGCCTTTGGTTCAGGCAGAAGGTCGCCAGTACCCCGTTACGGTGCATTTTTCCAGACGCACACGCCGCGATTATGTTGAGGAGGCGTACCGGAAAGTCTCGAGAGGTCATCGTAAGCTGCCTCCAGGGGGCATGCTTGTCTTTTTGACAGGACAGAATGAAATCCGAGAACTCTCTAAGCGCTTGAAGCAGGCCTTCAAACCTACGCAGCGGGGTGGAGAAACTGTGGCTAAAGTGCAGATCTCTGCGAACGATGCACCACTGGAGGCAGAAGATCTAGACATTGGGGACGCCGATCTCTCCAATATTGGCAACGAAGACGACGATAGTGATCTCGAAATTACCGGTCTAGATAATGATGATGATGACGATGATGGCTTTGACCTCGGTGAAGAAGCAATGGGCTCATCTACCCGAGTACATGTCTTACCGTTGTACTCTCAACTTCCCACAAAGGAACAGTTGAGAGTTTTCGAACCACCACCCGAGGGCTCACGTCTTATCATTCTAGCGACTAACGTGGCCGAGACTAGTTTAACAATCCCGGGTATCCGATATGTGTTTGATTGTGGACGGGCCAAGGAGAAACAGTACGATTTAGATACAGGAGTGCAGAAATTCCAGGTCAACTGGATCAGTAAGGCCAGTGCCAATCAAAGAGCAGGACGAGCTGGTAGAACTGGACCCGGCCACTGCTATCGACTCTACTCATCTGCAGTTTACGAAAACGAATTTGCACAGTACACAGATCCAGAGATTCTGCGTACACCAATTGAAGGTGTCGTGCTCCAGATGAAGAGTATGGGCCTTCATAACGTTATAAATTTCCCATTCCCAACGCCTCCTAGTCGGCAGGGCTTGGCGAAAGCCGAGAAGCTCCTCAAAAATCTCGGTGCTCTCTCGTCTGATGGTAAAGTTACGCAAATCGGTAACCGTCTGTCTACATACCCTCTATCCCCTAGGTTCGGTAAGATGTTGCATATTGGACATCAACACGGCTGTATGCCTTACGTTATTGCACTAGTTGCAGCCTTGGCAGTCGGGGACCTTTTTGTTCCAGAAAACCAGGTCGATCCGAGCCCCAAGGGAGATGACAGAGAGAAAGGTGCAGTGTACACGAACTCGGATCGTTTGGAAGACACCGTTCGGGAGCAACGTCATAAGGACTATGCAAGAGCTCATCGACTCTGGAGTCAACACGACGATACGTCTGATGCGCTGAAGTTCTTATCAGCGATTTGCGCTTACGGATATGCATCAGATGGGGAATCTTTCTGTGAGAAGATGTTCTTACGAGGCAAAGGATTTAAAGAGGCTACGCAACTGCGAAGCCAATTGACAGACATAGTGCGGGCCAATAACCCTGGAATTATTGGAGCGTATCAGCCACGTTTACCGCAACCGTCCGAGAAGCAAATCAAGGCTTTGAAGCAAATTGTCACCGCGGGCTTCATTGACAATGTTGCCATCCGGGCTGATTTGTCTCCGGTACCGCCCGAAATGCATCGTACACCGAAGAGAGCGATCGATGTCCCATACTTGACGCTATTCAAGTCTCGCGAGGGACCAGCCACGGAACTCGATGAGAAGGCTGTTTACGTACATCCGTCATCTATACTTGCGAGTCTCTCGCCGAAGGAAATGCCGCAATACATCATATACTCCCATCTTCAACAAGCGTCCCCATCGCTCGTGTCGACCGATGTGCCCAAAGTCAGAATGTTCCCACTGGTATGCCCTAGCGGCCTGCAACTCTCCGCTATTGCACAGGGCACACCCTTAATAGAGTACGGTAAGCCTATTGGGAAAGCGGAACTGATTGACGGAATCCCGCCACGCAGGGCGTGCTGGGTGATCCCGTCGCTGGTAAGCGAGCCTGGCCGTGGAGGATGGCCTTTGCCAGCCAAGAAGGTGGTTCAAAAGAAAGACCCTAAAGAAGGCTGGATAATTGAAAAATTTGGCGCTTAACTGTATATAATATGAGAAAAGTTACTGTAACGACTCTATACAAAAGCTATGAATACCATAACCATGGTCATCATGAGACATGCTCTGTTACTTCATTCCGTATGATCCCAAATCCTGTCTGTCATATACAAGAATCAAGTGCAGTAACTCCGCAACGCCAATGTCCCTACTCAATACTATCACGGAACAAACAAAAACTAGCAAGAATCCAAGAGAACAAATCGAAGCTCAAGGACGATCCCGCTCCCTCTCCCGCTTCTTCTCCTCCCAATCCCGACGCCCACTCGAGATCTCCCCGGTCTCCTTATCCTCCTTGATGCCCAACGCCTTCCGTAACCGCTCACTCTCCTCAATCTTCGCCTCAGCAAGCTCGTGAACCTGATACGACTTGAACTGCCTCCTATCCCTCGGCGGCAAATCCCGCGCAGACCGACCGCCCCTCCGCTCCCCCTCCTTACCCTTCCTCTCCTCTTCCTCCTCCATCTCCTTCACCAACCTCTCCCTCAAAGCATCACACCGCTCGTCAATCTCCTCATCCGACAGCACCTTCCCCTCCGCCTCCTCCCCGTCTTCCTTATCCCCCTTCTTCTTCCGCTCCGCCATCTCCTCCTCAATCCGCTCGTTCTCCTCCTCCAGCCGTTCCCTCTCCTCCATGACCTTCACCTCGATCGCCCGCCGCCGATCATGCTCGAGGATCTGCTTGTCAGGCAGCCGCTGCTTGAAGGGCCGTCCTGCGTCGCTGTTCGCGCCAACGGGTGGATACGGCGCGCCGTAGCCTGCGTTGCGCGGTTTCATGAACGCCCAGTTCTTCTGGACGTAGCCTGATGTGCCGCTTCCGCGGGGAGTATTGAGACCGACGTTTGAAGACATTGTGGGGGGGTTTTTTTTTTATTTCGGTTTGGTTGTTTGTAAAATGTCTGAAGTTTGGAGGTCGTGCTGGGGTAAGTAGATGGCTCGTTTTCCGTCGACTGTGGGATGGATAGCAAAATTTTTGGAGTTGATATTCAAGGTGAGGACAGCGGTAGCATCCAGTCGTGGTTCTGGGACGGCCCCCCGGAATGTGATGGCGGAATGGTGACGCTCGGGTTAGATTGAAGCTTTGCGACTTGACGGCGTCCACAAGCTATGATCGTATCACGTGGTGATATGCTGATAAGCGGAGGTTTCGAGTGAGCAGGATCGTTATCCTCTGGTAGATCATACGAGTACTTCTACGACGTACATGCATTACAAAGCTCAGACATGACGGGTTCATCAACACTTTTGGATTGATTGACTGTATACCGACAGATCGCCTCTACATGCTCCAGGCACTTCCTTTGATGCTCCCTATTTTCAGAGTTTCCCATATGTCCAAAGGTCCCATTCGCAACCCTCGAGGTCAATCCAGCGTGATATCCCAGTATTCCCTTGTTCACCAATTAAGACGCCGACACCTCGTACCTGGACAAAGAGAAATACAGCCATCGACAACTATAAAGACGTGTCTTCATTTTCATCACATCGAACCTGTCACAGAACAACCGGTGAAAGCCATGAGCAAATTAAAAGTGTAAAAGAGAATTCAAGAAGTATATCGGGTAGGGGGGCGTGAAAAAAAAAAAATGGCACAAGAAAAAAAGAAAAAAGAACAAGAAGAAAGCAAAGCAAGCTCCCGCCATGACCCGTATTTTTTACGCCGTTATGCCATAAATTGCGACAGCGGAGCAGCGAAGTGATAGCTCATATATCCCTCAGAAAGCCTGTATGTATACGCCCGGATTAAGAATAATGTTGAGTGTCTCGACACAATAGACTGTGCGAATCGTGACTCGGTTTAAAAATATGTCAATAGAAGCAAGAATAGTTGAACGTCATAGCAATCTAGTTGGCACCATTGATTTCCACAGAAGTAGTCGGGGTCGTGCCAGCCGACTCAGAAGCTGCGAGAGGTGTGCTCTTAGTCTCGGCCTTGGTGTCGCTGGATCCATCACCATTGCTCTGAGTGTCTGTTGGAGGCGGCGTCGGGGGCGCCGCGCCCACGACTGGCGCCCGGCAGCCGTCAAGGCCGTTCACAGCCCGCTTTGATGGCTGGGGAGAGGATTTGTGCGAGTTTGGCGGTGTGGTAGAGGTAGTATGAGGAAGAGTGCCACTGGTTGTTGAATTGGAGTCCGCAACTAGTTTCTCAATCGCTGCGATTTGTTTGCCATAGCTATATTTCTTCAGCTGGCTGAGAAGAGGCTTGATTTCCTCAACAAGAGCCTCTCTTTCTGCACCCTTGAGTTGACCCAAAACCTTCTCTGTACAGAGGTTAGTAATAGTCGAGTATACGCCCACAAGTGTGAGGACTTACGAATGACATAATTGCCAAACTGGTCACGAATCAGGCCAAGTAAGGGGTTCTCCCCATTGTCATCAGTGGACGTCAGCATGCTGATAATTTGGTGACGCTGAGACTCGAGACCAAATTCAAGGCTCTTTTCCACCACGTTGCTTGCAAACTTGTGCTTCGAGTACGTCAACAAGTTGGACACAACAATTGTAACCATACGGGATCGGTCCTTGTCCTCGCCATTCTCAATGACATGCTGGATCACGTAGTTACCGAACTGGTCGGGAATCAGCTTGGCAGTACAGACGTGAAGCTCAGCAAGAATGGCCTCGCGATCCTCTTCCTTGCAGTGTTCCAGCATCCGTTGGATGACACGACAACCATATGGATGAGTAGCTAACTTCTCGACCTGACCAATGAAGGCATTGATGACGAACTGCACATGCTCAGACGGCACTCTTTCAATAGCCTTTTGGATAACATGGTTTCCATTCTGGTCCCGAACACATCGCAAAACATGATGTTCAAGCTCCTTCACCATAGAAGCTTGTTGGTCGGTAAGAATATGCTCGAGCGCCTGCACTGAATTAGCCCACCGGCCTGTATAGAAAAGAGATAATTAAGAGAGGGTCTTACCTTCTGCACGACACGACATCCATACATCTGAGTAGACAAAGCCAGAATATGCCCCTTCATTTGATTTGCCAAAATCTTCTTCTGCGTCTGGTTGCCATGCTCGAAGAGTTTCTGTACAACGTAATTTCCAAAGACGTCTGTCATCAACTGCAGACTATCACCTTGGATCTCACGGAAAACCTGCTCCTTCTCGTCACTGTTTGCCGTTTCCAGTTTCTGTTGGATGAAACGCGATCCATGTTGGTCACCACTAAATTCGACGATGTGATTGTAAATATCCTGATTTCTTGTTAGTCATGGGATGATTCGAATGATGTGGAGTTCATGGTTACCTTCAGTTCATATCGTTTATTTCCCTTGCTATTCGCCCTAAACTCTTCTAGGACTGGACTTCGCACTGTCTGGGATGGATCATGGTCGCGGTGGCCCCTAGTTGCTAGGGCAGCAGCGCCAAGTTGAGCGACCGGATAGAATCCTGACAAAGCATTCATGGCTGTGCCAGGATAGCGGGCAAGGTCATAGTGGGCGAAGGGCAATCTTTGAAGCGGGTTGATTGCTTGTTGGGCTAACTCCTGCTCTCGCAAGCGGCGCTCCAAAGCAGCAGCCTGTGCTTCAGATAAACGAGCAGACGCATTGTTATAGGGCGGAACGTGCACCGACCCATTATCAAGCGCAGCATACAATGGGCTGTCCACCCTGGCATACTCTGTCGGCGAGATCGGGTTATCTCCCATTCGGTTTCTCGCAGCTTGGTATCCAAGTTGAACATCGGCCGCACCTTCACCTGCATAGCCAGCCCCTTGATAGGCGGCCTCGTCACCCTGGTATTTCAAGCGCTGGAAAGAACCATCGAAAGATGGGTGCGACAAATACCCTGGGCGGGTACTCGAAGGATGCGCGGAGTAACTACCTTCGCTGAAGTGGAGTTTACTTAGACCAGAATTGAGCTCAGCAGGGCCACCGGCATATCGACCCTCGAATCCCTGACTCTCCGAGTGAAACGAGGGGTATGAAGAATGTACCGGTCTCTGGGGCGCGAAGGATGCCGAGTTGTGTGACGCATGTGTATACGAGTTGCGTCCGAGCGTCGGCGCGACAGTCTCGGGCAAACCCTGGGGTAAAGCAGACATAGATGGCATTTCATCAGGCCTGCTACTCTCGAGTGGGCCAGAGAATCCTGGTTTCATCGGGAACCCAGATCCAACAGGGCTGCCCCCAAAGGCAGCAGCGTTGACATGTCGCCGGCTCTCTGTATTTCTGAAATTTCCAAAGCCAGAAAATGCGATTCCATCCCCGGAAGGAGAAATACCTTCTGATCCGGTGTTGAGATAGGCCTTATGATTTGTTGATCCAGCAGTGCCTCCGATTGCCGCCGATCGGGGTAGTGTAAAGTACGACGAGTCACCAGCCTCTGCAAGGCTACCGGTTCCTCGGTCACCCGCCCGGGTTTGGATGGGCGATGTTGTCATACTGTTATTTGTAGCTCTGGCGAGAACATTTGAAGATGTATTCACGGTACTCCAAGGCATATTAGGGCGGCCGTTCCACCCATCCGATTCGGACGATGACAACAATGAACTGGAGCCTGCCTTGCCTTCAAAGGCCTTATCACCAGCATGCTGGTCTACACGATCCCCCCAAATATTAGTATATATTCTCCGATATGGACGGTACTTCGAGGGTCTCACCTCCTAGATTGTCGCCCCAGATGGTATTCTTCCAGCTCGCCTTCCCGCCACCAAAAGGCTGTCCCATACCGCCATGGTTTCCACGATTCCGTTCACCACCCATATTGGATGGAGCGATGTTTGAGCTTCGGCTTGACCGTACCTGGATCCAAAACTGTCAATTACCTGATCAACCCATCCCAACCATCTACCACTCACATGATGCACCGCGCTCGCGTTTGCTGCCATCGCGGCCATATCACCATGTATCTAACTAAACACAAGACAGAATAAAGGAAAATATGTATACGAACAGCGCGAAATTATATGCAGACGGTCTCCAACCGTACTTTGTTTGCTAGCACTCCCGCTTTTATCTTCACTGCGAGTGCTCCCTCTGCTAGGTATCCCGAACTGTGGATTCGCGGCGTCGAACCGATAGGAGTTATACCGTGGCGAACAAACACGAGGAGCCTGTCGGGATATTGGGTAAATATTGACCTGCACGAGGCCCAGTCATATGGTTAGCGAGGCGTTGTAATGCGGTGAGGAGATCTTCTCACAGAAGACCAGTTACCCAGGGTAGCGACACCGAGTCGAACGAGGGAAAGAAAGGAAGGGATAAAAGAGAGGAGCTTACCGAAACAAGGTCAGAAAAGAAAAAAAATAAAATAATAGGGTTTATTGTTTTTGTCGAAACCGGTAATGCGGTCAGACCATGTACAGATTATACAAGGGATCGCAGGGGCACGAAAGGGAGGTGAAGTGGCAGGCGGGCCAACGAGAAATGCTTAATTGAGAAGCAAAGCAGAAGCAAGGCGACGAGAATTGGATAATGTCCCTGTCGTTGCCAGTGTAATGCTCCGCAAGTAGCCGTAGATCAAGACTGGCAGTGCGTATCGCGACGTTGCTACGCTCCGTGCATGCTCCAGGAAGTTCGAATCTCACAGGTCTCTCTCATGTGCTTTGTCGAGAGGGAACGGGACGACGAACGTTGCCAACTCGAATGTGTTTCAATCCGATAGGCGTCTGGGAGATTTGATGGTTCGCAGCAGCAAGGGGGAGGGGAGGGATTCAGTCAAATTGCGACTGGTATTGATGGGGAGGAATGTGTTTCGTTGCGCAAATGAGGCGATCAGGCGTGATTGGTGGAGCAGCGATAAATGGGAATGTGGGCGAGAGAGACAAAGCACGGCATTAATGTAATCCAGCTGTGACACAGGCGAAAGCAAGCATGACACCCAAAGTGGTCCTGGG